CGTGTCGTGTCGTCGTGTCGTGTGTGTGTGTGTGTGTGTGTGTGTGTGTGTGTGTGTAGTGTGTGTGTGTGTGCGTGCGTGCGTGCGTGCGTGCGTGCGTGCGTGCGTGCGCGCGCGCGCGCGCGCGCGCGCGCGTGCGTGCGTGCGTGCGTGCGTGCGTGTGTGTGTGTGTGTGTGTGCATGTGTATGTGCACATATATGCGTGTGTGCAGTCTGTAACTGTAGCTAAATGGATAGTAAACGACTTAACCCGAGCTTTCTAAAAGTTTTAGAAACCAAAATATCAAAGCGTTGCTCTACTCAATTTTCAATGCAGGAAATGGCATATTGACAATGTAAACTAGTCACAGCAGACATATATATGGTCATTCCGGCACACAGGCGTGGTGCGTCTATATAAAGAGCTAGATATAAGGAGAATGCAAACACACTTAGATCCGGAATGGCGAGAATAAACTAGTAAAAACAACTTCGCCCTCCCCATGCCCAACTTTACCCACGGCAAAAGTCCGACAAAACTGACTGAGCAGAAAATATGGCGGTTTTGGCCCATTTTCTACACTAGACCTCTCCCCTAGAAAGACTAACACCCTCTGTCGTAAGAAACAAGCACGAGAAATATGTTCACCTCCCAATATAAGAACGCTCGGCTTTCCTTCCATGCCAACTGTAGCCATTACGGACCAGCTGTTTACCTGGGATGTTCCACTAATGAAATAGGGGTGGCGCGCGAAATCACGCATGGCTCACTGGGGGCCTCTAGCGATCCTTGTAAAAACTGCACGAAAATTGTATGCGTTCTTGTCGATGCATGTGACTGAAATGTGCAATGAGTACTGTCGCCGTTAGAGGTCCAAATTGACGTATCAACGCAGAGATCGGAAGAATTGTGACGAGGGAACATATTTTAAAGGCATCTTAGCACATGTTCATCATCATTTGATACTTGAAGCATTTGAAATAGCCCTCAAAGAAGCTACTAGTATGTGAGGAGTCCCTCCATTTTTTGGTACAACCAATAGATAGCTAGAACCAGCCTACGATACGAATTTTTAAAGCAAACAACTGTTTTCCGTCAGCAACATCCAATATATTTTCCTAACAGATATAACTGTATGCTATGGGATAGGGTTCAACTAATAGATTCAACATTTAAAATTGACTTTGAAAATTCATTTTTATTGCCCTTAAACCGTTTGGGACGACTTTAAGTATCACTAACTAAAGTGTTGTTCGTACAAAATTCACAAAAGCACGAGAAGTTTTGTCTGCCCTCATAATGAAAAAAAAGTATTGTCTGACAACATATGCCCAATGACTACTTTGGTGACCCTGGTCGCTACACAAAGACTGCAATTCGCCACACAAATAGCTATACATTGTCTTTCATCATTATAGTTTTTTGTCGTCCTTGTAGACGGTGTGAAAATAATTACAGTGTCTGCTACCAGCACCTGATCATAAATGGCAATTCTATTGGGCGTTTCCTCGATTTACTACCATACAATGTACAGTCTTCTGTCATACTTATGATTATGGTATTTCTACCACACTGACCATTGCTCGTACTCTCCAAGCAGAGGTTAGGGTTTGGGGTTATTTTTGGCGTGTTTTTTAAGGCTTTTTTTATCCGTTTTTTTTTTTGCACTAGGATTTTTTTCCATCCATACACCACCAAAAAATATCCAATGGAAAAAAGAAACTCCGATAAAAGTCTTTAAAAAAGCCAAAAATAACCCCAAACCCTAACCTCTGCTGGGAGAGTACATTGCTCATAAGAGTAAATGCATTCTTTTGTCCTACACACGTGGTTGTTATATTTTTTCAGAGTATCTAAAGAAATCGTGTCCAACGATTCATGACATTATGAGTCAGACAGGACGTCATTTGGACAATTATTTAAGAAATAATGACGCACTCTCGTGCAATAATGCGTAGCTAGAAGACGGTGCACTAGTATTTACTTCACGAAATGAAGTGGAATTAATTTGATGACACCTGGTTAAAAGCTAGGAGGGTAAGGGACAGTAACCCTGACAGATAAAGAGGACAAGTTAAAAGCACTGGCGGAAACAGGCTACCAAAGGGTCACCTCTTTTGATCTCAAAGAAATACCTGCTATTTTGTACATTTTACATAAGAATGGCAGTCTATATAGTGCCATTTGGGCGTGTCGGAATGACTGCCCTGTTCCATCTCAAACTTGTTGACGTAGTCTGCTATCTCCATGGCTACAAACACCCGAACAACAAGTTTTTGAAGAGAATGTACCTTGAAAGCTTCATAGTTAACTTCCACTTGTTGTCTTATAAGTGAAAAAGACACTCGTTGTAATTTCAACTTAGCGCTGTCGTATAAGTTGATATTCGCTTGTATTGTGTCTTCCAAAAGTTACATTTTATGGTTTTGAATTACAGATGCAAGGGACATTTTGTTGTAATTAGTTAAGGAATTAGGGCGGAAACATTTGATTGAAAACAGAGACACAGGGTTCCAAAGTAACTTTTAGACTTGGGAATAGAACAAGGAGTCTGTATTTGGAGCTCATTGGGTTAGAATGTCCTTGGCGTGGTTACCAGACCTATTTTAGCTTCCGAGTCTATATCCTCTCCTCTATTAGCCGACTAGAATATATAATGGCCTACCACAGTCAGAAAGATAGCAAGAATTGAAACACAACTGTGCGAATGTTTCTCTCAGTTTATTTCCCAATAATAAAATCAAACGGTCAGCTGTCTTGTATTCATAGCTTATATATAAGACAGCAATCGGTCCCAGAATGTCATTTCATCCATAAAAACTTACACAACACTAGTACTGCTAGACTGTGGAACACAAGAAAAGTATATATATCCAAACCAATCCAATGGTAGCATAGACATCCAGTTAGTTATCGATATGTATATCATCGAAAGATTATTCTTCAATCAGATGTTTAGGCTTCGGCGTAATTTTGGCGTAATTTTAGGGGTTTTTTTGCGATCATATCGGGATATCTTTTTTGTACTGGATTTTTCTTTACGCCAGTTAGAAAAACGCCTAAAACACGCCAAAATAATCCGAAGCAGAAACCTCTACTTGGACAGTATCGAAACTTTCTCAAAGATCAAATTATTTTCCATTGCTGTTTCTTGAATCTACAGTATACTGTAATCTACCAAAATAATATCGTACAGTCACACTATTCTATTGAGATATAATATATGCAAGCCACTAAGTTAAAAACAAAATGTAAATGGCATGTATGATATGTTACGCTGATAACTAATTAACGTTATTTAATATCAGATTAATAACAATAGACCAAATGTTGATAAACAGACGATGGAGATGGTTAGGTCACATATGCCGCATGCCATCACATAGTATAACCAAAACAGCTCTAAGATGGACGCCTCAGGGCAGGAGACCTAGAGGACGACCGAAGGAAACATGGCGAAGAACCATCGACAAAGAAGTGGGGAGCCATGGTTTCACTCTCGATGAGGCACCAAAGATGGCAGCGGACCGGGCCAGATGGAAGACCTTCCTTCTTCCTTAAGAGCCATGCTGGCTCAGAAGAGGACTAAGTAATATCAGACTTATATCTTAGTTTGAGCACAAATAGGACAACATCATTTCTACATGACCCTTGATGATGTCAGGACCTGGGTGTAAGCTATAGAACGGCTCTTCACATAAGGACATCTCCCACACATCCAGGATAAAAATGTTCAGGTCTCCGAGAATCTGCTTAGCCTCGTGTATGAGCTGGTGCGTGTACCAGTTACTGTTTTCCAGAAAGTGTTCTAATTTTACATGGCCCTGCATAGCGCCTGTTCTCCAGACTATTTTTGTGTCAGGATAGCGATTGAGCAGACGTTCTATAGCATACCGAATGCCCCACACCCTTGAGCGAAACGTTTCCAGTGGTTCTGCGTTGTAGTGAGCCCAGAAACACAGAACAACCATCATATTGGGTCCACCCACAATTCTATCCACCTCATCTGCAACATACTTTAGGTACCTAACTTGAAGTGCAGGGGTACCATGGTTCCGTGGAAAAGTATGAAACACAAAATCTACCTTCATGCTTTTATGTTTCCTTTCCCACTCTCTTTTTCCTTCAGGTAGTTGCGCAGTAATTTTCTGGACTAGATCTTCAAGATACCCAAAGTATTGTCGCCCAGTTGAATCGCCTAAGATAGTGATAGACTTGTTCCTCAAACACTTGTAGTCTAATGGCGAAGAGTGGATTCTAAGTGGCTTACATCTGAGGGAGTGCCATGTTTTGTTGTACCAATACCCTTCGGAACTTGACTCTGCGAGTTGTGGCCCACATGGTGGTAGAGTTTTCCCTTCGACGCCATCTCGAATACCTAGAAACAAAATCAGATGAAAACAGAATTAGTTCTAAACTCAGTATCAAATCTGTATATATTAACATTCAGGCAAGTCTAGAAATTTCTCCAATGATTGTAAAAACTTCATCCCATTCTACACACTGTTGTATTGGGTAGATTAGCCTTATTGAATTGTAGTTATGTACCAGCAGTAGTTGCCATATTTTGTACCTTGTACAATTGTTGTGCAATTAACAAAATAAAAACATACAGTATAATGTGCAATAAAAGTATTAAATATGATAGAAATCAAAATACTAGTATAACATTAAGTTTGGAAAAATAAAGTTTTGCAACATTATTGCCAGTACAATGTATTTACATGTAAAATATACTTAGTATAATTACTCTCTGTCAGATTTTTCCAACTGAATGCACGGCAGAGAATGGTTGAGAACGAGTGAGTTATTTGATAATATATGGCCCAATGTTTCTTGCAAAACATAATATACACGGTGTGCCACTTTCCAGGTCAAATTGTTATTGGTACTCACGGTTTCCTTTCACAGTGATCTTGACTTTATTCGGAACATCCAGATTCGCAAGTGTACTGCAATAAATAGATAGTCATTTAGATTATCATACTGTATCTACATTGTATTCGTCTTTCCAGTTGTAGCTAGTATCTAGGAAGTGCAATATATGTCTCTTGCAGCTTTTAACATAATTTTTCTGATAACAAAATATGGTTCGGTGAAAATTACAGCTAAAAAACAGCCGGGATCTGCCATGTGTTTGTTTGTTTGTAATGCCATTAGATAGATAAATAAATACCTGTTGAAAAGTGCAGCCTCGCTTGCTGTGACCATCGTTTCGTGCAGTTTGAGTGATGCTGGATAGTCTCGGTTACATGCTGTTATAGACTGGCAGGCTTTAACCCTTGTAGGCCTTTGGCAGTACCAGGTAGCGTTCGGTATGGACCTAGAATAGTCACAAATGTCTCTAGGATTGATACTATCGTTGCGGCTGAAGGTACAGTGTACCCACTCCTCTTCGCCAGAAATCTCGTCCACAAAGCTACACTTCGTCACCCGTCTGTCTAAGAAGTTGTCACGGATTCGTTTCAGAACTTCCACCGACTCGCTCGAGTGCCCCAGTCGGACTGAGATAGCCAAACTCCCCGGCCAGCTTAGGAAGAATCTCGCGATGTAGACTCCATTGCCACGATCCGTCACCTGCCCAGCCGTACAGGCCTTGACGCGAGACTTTGCCGTTGTGCACAGCTTTGCCAACAGAAAGTCTCCTCCGTTCGTCTTCTGCCGTCCCTTGGCATCGCGAGCAACTATTCTTACCACTAGCGTGTCTCCAACTTGGTAGACTGTTCTAGGGTTGATAACACCTATTAACATGTGTTCAGCGGTTGTGACTTCACTCATGTCGATGTGATCGCGCTTCTGACTCCAGGCTGAAGCCACCATGCTTTGTTTACTTTCCAGAGGATGTTCCAACGATGTGCCAGGGTTTTCAACTCGGGATGTCGCGATTTCTCCCACTCTGCTATTGTCCACCATCCATGTCTGCCCCTGGAAAATCTACCAAGACAACAGTTGTCGTTATTGGATATCTACATGTATTTTTTAAATCTTGATTTGATTATATGAACATCTTAATATTTCAGACACAATCTTAGGTAATGATGTCTGTCCATGGAAAATATACGAAGAAAATAGTTGCTATTATTAGATATTTATACTTTTACATCTTGGTTTTATATGAACATCTTGATATTTCAGACACAATCTTAAGTAACACCTGAAGTTACAATAAAAAGCTTTGTACGTCAGGTATTGTATGTCTAGATTATAGCAATACACTCAGGGTACGAAGAGACAAAACTTCTTAATCCATTTCTGGTAAAATAATGTGATAATAGGGGGTGTTATCCCACTAATTCAGCATATAGAGAATTGTGGTGGCACGAAAGGTTAAAAAATGGGATATACAAATAACATACAATTATCTCCATAATACCGATTAGCTTGCTGACTGTTAGACTGTGAGCTCGCTAGACCAATTAGCACGTTTTTTTTTTACGGTCAAATACTTTTCAGTACTAAATAAATGGGATGAATAGTCAGATCAAGGCAATGGGTTAAGTTCGGAAAACTTTTCCTGGAGTATCACATGCCAAAACCAGTCATAATTTACCGGGCATATATCACATTTCGTGCAGGGTAAAAAGTCAACGAAAGACACTACTAAGTGACACAAAAATGACCCAGTAAGAGTTAAACTTACCATTCCCGTGCAGAGTAGAGAGAACAAACTGCAACCGAGAAAGCCGGCAATATATCCTCCCCTTTTCTCCAACATTTTGCTTGACTGGCCTTCTCTTGTCCTGTTACTTAGAACGAATGAGTACTGGTACTACATGTAGAACATCGACACCAAGTGACTGCAAAAACGACTAAGCAGACAATTAGCATAACAATACAGTGTTCCAGAAAGTAGGGTAGACTACTGGTTAGACCTGTTTGCTTTCGTGCCATTACGTACATGTACATGTAGTTCTGCTGCAGTACCATAGCAAGCCTTCAGGGGGTCAAAATCTTATCATTTCGAGGTCTCATGAAGACCTTCCCACGTACCGAATGTATCAAGCTTAAGAAAGACAATCTATATAAGCCTTCTCGAGCAATCGTGTTGACAGACAGACAAACACACACGAATGTCTTGTGGGGTCGTGTGGTGTAGCGGCACAGAGTGCTCGACTCGGAACCCAGAGGTCCCAGGTTCGAGTCCTGACATGCCACCGATCTTGTGCCCTCGGGAAAGGCACTTTAAACGACTTTCCTCACTTCGCTCAGGTGTAAATGTCCCATGTGTTGGTGACGGCATTAATATAAGTTGAAAAAACTTGAGTGTGCCGTCACCACGTCTTGTGATTAGATGTTGGAATATAAAAAAAATACCTCCAAATATAACTACATATGTGTCATGAGTATTTATTGCTTTTTTTACGTTCCCCTCTTTCAAAACTCTAGATCTAGAAATACCATACTACCCTAGGGAGGGGGCATAAAGAATATAGATACATGTATCTGAATTGTTTTCAACAAAAGCTAATGAAAACAGAAAACATTTGACAAGCATGACAAAAGTGCCTGGTATTCACATGTGATTTATTCATTAGGTATAGAATCATTACAAGTTTTCGGAAAAAAATCACAAAAGAAAATTATTTATAAAGAACATAAACACTTAAATATAAACTATGATATGGTTCTAATGGTATCAATGAACATTTGTATTGGTGTTACTATAAAATGCTATTATTGTATACCTAGTCTACATTTTTATCTCCTTAAACGTATCATTGGCCAAAGGAAGAGTTAGACGACAGACATTCAGCGTCCGGGTCGTTAGGGATTGGAACAGTCTACCACAGGCCGTAATTAACTCAGAATCAGTATTAAAATGAGTTCAAGACGAACTTAGACAAATACTGGGAGAGCATAAAGTATAACACTGAGTGAAGTCGAGATCGGGATCACCACAGGATTACCTCTCATCCCGAAGACGGTATCAAGGTATGATAAAACTAAAGCTATCGGTATCATATTATGGTGTTTACGTAAGAATAAACAGTAAAATGTCATGTTCCCGTATATACAAATACACACCCTTCACCGCATCAAAGCTGTACAAAGCAATCGTTACATATTCAAAACACCCATACATGTATATGTGGTTACTGTGGGCATATATAAGAATAAAACATGTCTAAATGGTTTTTGATGACTTCATCGTGAGGGTGAACACTATGCTCATGCCACTGACACACAGACATATCCCAGACATCAAGAATTGTAACGTTTAAATCGCCCAGAATCTCTTTAGTCTCCTGTAACACTTGATAGGCATACCAGTTGCTATTGTCTCGCAAATGAGAGAACGTAACAAAACCGCGAGTGTTACTAGAGCGAACGAAGACTTTGGTCTCAGGGTACCTGCTATGTAGGTGCTGTATTGCATGTCGTATACCGTACATCCGAGAAACAAACGTTTCCATTGGTTCACCAGAGAAATGCCCCCATAGACCTAACACAATAACAACATCTGGTCCACCAATCATATTCTTGATCTCATCTGCAGTGAAACTGAACACATTCATAGGACGAGGCGGTGGACCGCCAACCGGAAAATGGTGGAACCTAAAATGTAGTTTTATGTTGTTCGTTTTGTTGGTGGTTACTCTAGGGCCGAGGAATTTATCCTTGTTTGGGTTGTCTACGGTGTTGATGTCTCTTGCTATTTCGCTGTACCACTGGCGAAGGGTGGAGTCTCCTTGCAGGTAGATGGTTTTGTTCCGCAGGCATCGGACGGCTGCCTCCCTGTCGAACCCTTGTTGTACACGACAGCGGAGGGAGAACCAGGTACCGTTGTACCAGTAACCTTCTGATGCTGGCTCAGGCAGATGGAGGCCACATTTCGGAAGGCCTTTGGGCACCATCCCTGTATCTAAAACGATTTTTTTTATTATTATTCATTCACATAGAAAAAGGTACAAGACATGGTAGTACCGCACTCAAGTGGAAAGCACTTATGTTTACGGCACCACTAAATAAATACATATAATAAAGAAAAAATAAACGCAACTTCAAGACAGGCAAACAGTAAACACAAGAAATTCAAAAGCGCAAGTCCGGTTCCCCACCCAATGATAAATGATGGCAAAGAGAGGACACAATACATAGATAACACAAGGGGAAATTGAAATCTTTTAAAAACGTTCTGATGTGGTGATAAAGTTTTGGGTAAGTGATAATATATTGGTGTTGACAACTGATGAGAATGCGGGACTACCACGGAGTAGAAGGTCAGTTTTTGCGTTGTCAGAAAGAGTTGTAAATTCTAGGGTGTTACATCTAAAACGATTGAAGCGACAATGAATGACGACCTATATTGCAAATTTTTGCCACAAACATTTGGCTATTTAAAGTACAGGTCACAAAAACAAAATGAACAGATACAGTTAACAGATACAAAAAGAAACTATCTATCGTTACATAAATTCAACTTTTCAGTTATTGTAGAAATAAAAGAACAGATGTGTTTTTCGGTTGATGGTTTGTCAAGTTGCATTATGAATATGAGTTTTTTCTACAGTGCACGAAATAGTGAGATCGTTTCTTTTTACAAACATATGTGTCACTTGGTCAGAGAACAACAACTTGAACAAGGTGAATTTTTCGCGACGTTATTATTTGTTATGTCAGTTAAAAACTCTTTTTCAAAAACAAACATACTGAAATATTCTTACCTCTTTCCTTCACATTAAGACTGATGTTCCCTGGAACCTCCACTTTGTCACTGTAACAAATATATTAGAAAATATTTAAACGTTGATCTCGAAAGTTTTAAATAACATAAAAAAATTACTGGCTAGTGGTCGTCGAGAATTCATGGTTTCATCACTTTATGAGGCAAATGTTAGACTTTTGAATAATTAAACTCTAGCTGATTCATTTTGTTTAATTGGACGAAACATAACAAAAAAAGTATACGTATACAAGATAGTGACCGAAATATTTGAGAAGTTCAAGCAGAATATAATGCAGTGTTTTAGAGAATGTTACATACAAGATAGCGAAGCAATAACACAATGTAAGTTTTGCGTTGAGAGAGAGAGAGAGTGAGAGAAAGAGAAATAAAGAACGAAAGTAAATTTCTTGGAGAAGTAAAAACTTCGTTACACATGACATCATTTACATGTATTGTACAGGTTGAATCATTTCAGAGATGTGTTATAGAGCAGTGTTACTTGCTAGAAGAATCCCAAAGGTTAAAAAACAACAGTTTATTCAAAGCAACAAAATCACACAAAAGCAGGGAATGCTGCATGCATCCCTGAATTGTAATTGATTTTTACAATAGTTTAAAAACAAGGCAGGACAGGTATACAGAAAAACACACTATATACAAATTATTATGTACAAAGACATAAAGACAAGACATAACGTGTACCCTTCAAGCAGTGCCTTCTCCTCTGCCGAGAACAGGTCGTCAACGCCGAGAGATTTGTTCCGATCCTGTCTGCATTGTATGGGGGGCTCACAAGGGGCACTTCTCGGCTTGTGACAATACCAAGTCACGTTAATGTCAGGTCTAGAAAAATCACAGATATTCCGACTGTATTCCGCCTTCTCGTTTTGGTTAAACGTACAACTTGTCCATTCGGTACTGTTCGTTTTTGGATCTTGAAACATGCAGGAGAAGAAACGTCTGATTTTGTCGCTTCGACTTTTCTTGAGGATGCTTACAGCTTCGCTGGAGTGAACAAGCCTGACAGTTGCGGTGACCAGGCCAGGCCAACCGAGAATAAACCGGGCTAGGTAGGTCCCGTTGCCGTAGTCTTTGATACGACCAGCGGTACTGGCCTGTACGGGGGACGTAGTGGTAAGTTGGGTGGTGAAGAAGTCTCCGCCGACAGTTTTCGGACGATTAAATGCATCTCTAGCAACTATCCTGAGCAACAGTTCGTCCCCTACCCTGTATGTTAGCCTGCGATTCAAAATATGTGCAATGGTTTTCTCGGACGAAGTCGGACTGATGGGAGGAATAGCGTTGTTGTTGGCTGAGACCTTGTTTTGCCGTACGTCATTTTGTGGAGGATTCTGATTTGGTAGCACATTGTTCTTATCGTTGGAGATGATTGGTTGGCTTGCACTGGCGTTGTCATTTATCCTCCTCTCTTGTCCTCCATCCTTGTTTGGGGCATTTTGATTGGGTAAGACCTTGTCTTTTTCCTGAGTGATGATTGGTTGGTCATTTGCACTGGAGGCTGCCTTGTCATCTGTCGTCTTGTCTTGCCCTCCATCGTTGTTTGGTAGGTTTTGATTGGGTAAGACTTTGTCCTTTTCTTTGATGATGTCTGGTTGGTCATTTGCTCTGGGGGCTGCGTTGTCGTTTATTCTCTTCTCTTGCCCTCCATTGTTGTTGGGTAGGTTTTGATTGGGTAAGACCTTGTCTTTTTCTTTGAGGATGTCTGGTTGGTCATTTGCACTGGGGGCAGCGTTGTCGTTTGTTCTCTTCTCTTGTCCTCCGTTATTGTTTGGGGGATTTTGATTGGGTAAGACCTTGTCTTTTTCCTGAGAGATGATTGGTTGGTCATTTACACTGGAGGCTGCCTTGTCATCCATCCTTTTTTCTTGCCCTCCATCGTTGTTTGGTAGGTTTTGATTGGGTAAGACTTTGTCCTTTTCTTTGAGGATGTTTGGTTGGTCATTTGCTCTGGAGGTTGCCTTGTCATCTGTCGTCTTGTCTTGCCCTCCATCGTTATTTGGTAGGTTTTGATTGGGTAAGACTTTGTCCTTTTCTTTGAGGATGTTTGGCTGGTCATTTGCACTGGGGGCAGCGTTGTCGTTTATTCCTTTCTCTTGCCCTCCATTGTTGTTTGGGGGATTTTGATTGGGTAAGACCTTGTCGTTTTCCTGAGAAATGATTGGTTGGTCTGCACTGGAGGCTGCCTTGTCATCTATTCTTTTTTCTTGCTCTCCATCGTTGTTTGGAGGGTTTTGGTTGGGAGATGCTTTGGAGATGCTTGGTTGGTCAGCACTGGAGGTTGCCTTGTCATCTATAGTTTTGTCTTGTCCTCCATCTTTGTTTGGAGCATTCTGATTGGGTAACACTTTGTTCTCTTCTTTTGAGGCGATTGGTTGGTCTGCAGTAGAGGCTGCCTTGTCATCTGTCGTTTTGTCTCGCTCTCCATTTTTGTTAGGAAGATTCTGATTGGGTAACACTTTGTTCTCTTCTTTGGGGACAGTTGGTTGGTCAACACTGGATGCTGCCTTGTCATCTATAGTTTTGTCTTGCCCTCCATTTTTGTTTGGGAGATTCTGATTGGGTGACACTTTGTTCTCTTCTTTCGGGACAGCTGGTTGATCATTCGCACTGAAAGGTATACTCATTTCTTGTTGCCCTAGTCGTCGGTCCATGTTGCGGCGAAAAATCTGATTGGGCAACATCTTGTTCACAGGAACGTCAAAGACTTCGGGTTTCTGTAAAAAAAAAACAGAAAAAAAAACAACAAAATGTCAGTTGACTGTAGTTTAATTTGCAACGAGTAGTAAATTTTGATAGATTTATGTCTTATTTGTCTTTGTAGTGAAGAATGAAAACCTTTACTGCACATTTATGCTTTTACAAGCTACTATTAAGTACAGGCCATGTAAAAAGCAGAGGTGAAATTACAGCAGTACTAAATGTGAACAAACATTTACAGGTTCAAGTTCTTCTTGCTTCATTAGGCAGTTGAATATGTATACAGATATATAGCTAATGATACATGTTTTGTCTAGTTTCATATCAATGAATAAGAATTTTTCTGTTCTATCTAAATGTCTGAAACTTGCATACAGGTATAGAGGATATCTCTCTTATTTCTATATAATTAAGGAACAACGGTAGAACTTACACTTTTTATAAAGAGCACCACTAGTAGGATTACTAGTATCGGCAACCCTTTCACAAACATTGTCTTCTTCCTCATTGTAGGATTGGTGAGTGTGAGTAAGAAAGGACACGTTGTTTATCTCTCTGTGAAAGAAAACAAAACGTCTGTAAATAAAATGAGTTTGCTAAGAAGACGAATGCATGTTGTATGGAAAGCAAACATGCCAGCATAGACGTGTCCAAGCAAGTGAAATTCATCGCTATAATAGACAGTTTATTGCACATACATGCCCGAGGGAAACCAAGCCCTACTCTTGCCGATAAAAAGTATTGTACAAAGATTAAAAGCCTGAAGATAAAAAAAATACACGTACGGGAGTTAGGTATTGATGACCCCTAAGAAAGAGGCTAAACCTCCTTGCCCCTAGAGACAAACTGCTTCTTAAATATATTCATTATAGATCCTAAACGTGTGTCATACGATGAGAAAAAAACAAATATCATAATTATTGTGAAGCAATGCAATACAACCCCCCACCCACACACACACACGCCAACAAAAAATCAGTAGTGGCAAAAATGTAACGCAAACACTAACATTAGTTCCACATGCATGTATTTTCAACTTATTCGTAGTCTTTCCTGTCGCTGCTTTCTAAAAAATTTCCACTTCATTACCTAGTAAATATGTAAAATTCTTACCGTTTTCTTGTGTGTCTTTTGAGCGTAGATCTCTCCAAGTTGCAGAATGATCGAGTTGAATCTCATCGAGTAAAAGATTTACGGTGGAACATAATAGTCTCCGTGTCGGCTTGTAGGATTGAGTGGAACCAGAAAAACTTGTTATGGTAATAAGGCTACTCTTCCCCCTACGTTGTCTGATAATGGGAGACGATTGTTCTCAATAAAAAGACAGATCAACTTCAATCATGTACCAAGACAACTTGTTTTTTTTTTACGCGTTTTTGAAGCCAACCTTCCTTTTTATTATTACTAATTACTGTGGCGTCTAATGAAAAACTGTGTGTGTGTCTGTGTGTGCGTGTGTATTTGGGGTATGTGTGTATGTGTGTGTGTGTTTGTGCGTGTAAGTATTTGTGTGTGTGTGTGTGTGTGTGTGGCGGGGGGGGGCGGTCGGGGTGTTTCTATTTGTCTTAAATTGTATTCTATGCATTTTCTAATTAAACTAAAATGATGCTGTTGATTCGTGGCTAAAGTTGTGTCTTGTGTTTTCATAATTACCTATGTCTTGCTGATGCGGGCATCTAGAGCTGTCCACAGTTTCCCTGTTTTTTACTTCGCAACCTACACATGGTAGGCATGTTCTCTCTCATTTTTTTGGCATGAATTTCAGGGCGGCAAAGTAAAAAAAAAATACGAAATCTGTCTGCTGTTGACATTTACTGTCATTTCTCAGCACATGTTTTCGTCATCATTTCATACCTGAAGCCTCTGGAATAGCCTAAACAAACTACATGAGGCGTTTCTTTATTTTGGGGTACCGGCCATAAAAAGAACCATATATAGCATAAAAAGCATATGGAAAAATTTAGTAGTAGATATTAAAAAAAAATTGAAAGAATTCAATTTCAAGCTTTTGCATGATATTCTTCCATGTAAAGTGAAACTGAACAAATGGCAAATTAGGAATCAAGCAGGTGAAGAATATAGTCCAATGTGCACACCATGTAATGTTAAGGAAACCTACATGCATATGCTTGTAAATTGCAAAAGGCTGGGTAACTACTGGGGAAAAGTTGAAAATAGATTGAATTACCATGGCACTAGAATTAAGATAAACAAATTGTCAATATTTTTTGGAGTGGATCAAAATTTGGAAGTCTTCACTGTAAATATCACTCTTGCGATTACTGTAGCAAAATTTGTTATTTATAAATCCTGGATGGAATTTAAGGATAAGGATAGCATGCAACACAACTTATGGTATTACTACTTAACCGAGATGTCCTTTAGACATCTGTAACTATGTTTATTGCATTGTATGTTGTGTATGTGTATATTTTGTATACTTTGTATATATTTTGTCTCTTGGTCATCAATAAAGTTTTGAAAAAAATAAATAAAAAGCAATAGTTTTCCGTCAGTGACACCGCATTTTGCCTCATAGACAACAGTGATACAATGGGATAGGATTGATTCATATTACCGCATTAAAAGAATAACCAGAAAAATTGACCTTGAAAATCAATCATCAATTAATCAATCAACCTAAAAGCTGAATAATGATAGCCATCCTTCATATTCTTCATTTTTCTGTGACACAATTGTTATAGTCATTTTCTTTTCTAATTTTCTATACTTTTAAAATCGTTGTTGTGTATTTGTTATGGTAGTTTATTTGTTGATGGTTCATTGCAATCGTATCTTATTATTGTATAATGTGTTGTGTAGCTTAAATAGTATGTAGGGAGGACTTCGGGATAATTATACATGTATATAATCACTAATAATGATTTAATGAGCTAAAACTAACGAACTCCAGACCAATACATTGATTGGTACTGGTTTCGAAGAAATAGAAAATGCAACACTGCAAATTCTTGAATATTATCGCCTTTAATAACTTCATTAAAATGTAATACAATACAAAATACAATGTACCCATTTCTATATTTTGTCTGTGGATATGTGGTTGTTACTTTTCACCACACAAATAATTTTGATATGACAATACATGAGGGTATTTGAAAAATGAAAAAAATCCCTTTGTTTGTAGTAATTCTTTATTATATTTATTGGTCAGACTGAAAGATGACCCAACATTCCAGAATTATGCTACATGTATATAGCTATATTGATGCACAACTTGATGTAATTACATACACATGGGTAACTACTGCTATTGACTGTTCTCACCCTAATAGGTAATGTATTGAGGCAGTCTTTTCTAAATGTTCTTCTAAAATACCTACATTAACTGAAGGATTTATATAAATGATAAAAAGTTGATATGTAATTTGCTAGAGTGAATACAGGTAGTCAATTTGACTCATAAAAATGTGAAATACCAAACAAAATGAACCAGTGGAGATCACAGTACACCAAACAAAATAAAGTGAGGAACACACTACATGTACTTAACATTGGCAATACAAAACTAAATCCCTCCAATATAAGAACACCTACATTATATTATGTTATTAATTTTGCTGAAGAGCAGGATGAAATGATCCTGGGAAGTGCTAATCTCCATGCAGATCTTTTGGTGTCTGCAAAGAATTGAAGGTGGCAAAATGGTATCTGTATAGCAAATGGATACTGCCTGTCAATTTGATACTGTTTATTATGTTATCAATTTTGCTGAATAGTAGGATGAAATAATCTGAGAATTATTAATCTCCATGCAGATCTTTTGGTGTCTGCAAAGAATTGAAGGTGGCAAAATGGTAACTGTATAGCAAATGGATACTGCCTGTCAATTTGATACTGTTTATTATGTTATCAATTTTGCTCAATAGTAGGATGAAATGATCCTGGGAAGTGCTAATCTCAAGGCAGATCTTTTGGTGTCTGCAAAGAATTGAAGGTGGCAAAACTGTAACTGTGTAGCAAATGGATACTGCCTGTCAATTTGATACTGTCTTTGCAGCCACCGAACGCGAAAGATCTGCTTGGAAGTTAGGGAACAGCAGAGGAAGACGCCGATGCTCTACTTCCTGGCGATGTCCTGGTTGTTGACGAACCAGTCAACCGTCTCCTTCACGGCTGTAGGAAAACACAAAAAAGGCATATAAGTAAACCATACTGCTCTGAAACATTGTTTAGCTTGGGATTGTCATCTTTGAAACGTAATAAACTTCTAATTCTTATGAAAATAACACGACAGTTACATAAATAGTTTCACTGATATACAATATACTGAGATATGCATGTGATAAAGCCTTTCTGTCCCCACGTTCTTGAGGAAAAATTATCCTTCATTGAGACGGGGGAAGCCACAGACTACCACTATATTTGATCCGCTGCTCAGCGAGTCAAGGGTTCTCAACTTGCATAAAGTTGTATCATAGAAGCCTTGGATTTATTCCTTTGCAAAAATTTGTGTCATACAGTCGAAAATTTTTGTGTTGGAAATTGCAATTTGAAGATACTCCCTCATACCTTTTGCAGTCACTTGATGGTAAGTTTTACCATTTTTTTCTTACCTTGTTTCATGTTGGTAAACTTGAAGTCCGGCAGATATCCCCTCAGCTTGGCGTTGTCCGCAGTTTTCTTCAACTGGCCGTCAGATTTGGTGGTGTCATACTGAACAATGTTAAGTTAAGGACCGTACATGTATAGTGTACACAAGTAGCAAGTTTTATTTAATCCGTGGTATGCATAAAAATGGCACATACTGCTTTCTCTGCTTAGCATTCAGCATCTATGAGAAAGAGTATGGGGAGGCCAAACACACAGCACTATCAGTGGACTTGCCCCCTGCTGTAGTGATTGCACAACTGTGTGGCCCAAGGGCTACAGAAATGGAGATGGGCACCACCTCTATGCTCTGCACAGAGTGGAACGGGACTTTTTATGCATAAAAAAATATACTTTTGTTCACCGAGTATACTAGTAAGTTAAATAGCTCCAAACCCATTTAGACCCTGTTCATACCAGACTTATATTTAGCGGTTTCAACCGGTTTTTCAAAAACCGGTTTTTATTTAACCTGGTGTGAACGCAAATTAACCGGTTTTTTAGGGGTTTAAATCCGATTTTGAAAAACCACCTCGGGAGGTGGTTTTTGAAGGGTTTTTGTGGGGTTTTTCCACCGAAAAACCTGGTCTGAACGCTAAGGGTTTATTGAACCGGTTTTTGCGTCATAATTTCGGGGTCACGGGGTCAGCATCCTGACCGAGTGCGACCTGCAAGCTTCTTAGATCGCGTTGTTTTGACCAACTTGAGTTCGTTTCCACTGTTTTTCCATGATTTCTCTTCATTTTGCGATGGAATCAGCATATGCAACCTGGTCGGCGGACGAGACGCTCCTGATACTTAGGTTTGGAGAGCACGAGTCGCCGAATTCGAAAAAGCTGGGGGGGGGGGCGGCAAGGGCTCTACCGAAACAAAAATGTTGGAGGAGGCTGATTTCTTGAAGATAAAGGATCAGTGCCGCAGTAAGGTAAAAACAAACAAAAAAACTGAAGACGGCATACAAGTAAGAAGGCCAAGGACAACAATCGGAAGAGCGGGAGGAACGGTTATTCAAACTGCAGTCATGGCCGATATTCACCGGACAGGATTTTTTCAAAACCGGTTATCAAAAGTCTGGTATGAACGCTAAGGGTTTTAGCCGGGTTTTTGAAAAACCGGTTGAAACCGCTAAATGTAAGTCTGGTATGAACAGGGTCTTAAATGCATGTAGGGTACCCAAGACAGTTACAGAAAGTAGCTCACGATTCGCAGTTGAAATTCAGAAAAGACACTGAATACATAAGATAGGCATACTCTCCTTTCTCTATAGGGAAATGACAGTTAGTTACATGTTTATAGCTATCGCATATTTATAGTAATAATGTTTCACCAAAAAGAAAACTGCAGACGCATGTTTAAGGATACGAGAACTTCTCCCGTGAACTCCATGGCTTCTATCACCATCTCAGCCAGCTCCTTGATGGAAATCTCTGCCTCTTCCGGAACTGTAAGCAAACAAAGTTCATTTGGTCAGATATAATATCAAGAAAGTGGGTTATGAGTTCATTAACAAGTGCTTAATCAGGTGATGGGTTTTGCTGCCAAAATGTTAATGTCTTTACAATAAAGAACAATACATGTGTACATCATCATGAAACTAAGTATAATAGCATCAGATGTACAAAATATTGGTAGTTGATTTCCTTGTTGATTTTACCCTAACTATTTAGACACAAGGTCGTTTAAGATCTAGTTTAAACCTCTAGGAAAACATGCAATAGATCAGCTTTGGTAGAATTGAAATTTAGTATAGTTACTATGGATAAACTATGTTAGAATTGTATAGTATACACTGTACCAGTTGTTGAGCAATAAAGTTGATTTGTAATGTCCGTATGACTACCTGATAGAATGATGGGGTCAATCTCTTCATACTCCCTCATCACCCAGACGATCAGCTTGGCGAGGTCCTGAGAAATGAACATACAACAAAATAAATATCCGTCTTGTCCAGGCAAATATCAAGGAAATACTTGCTTGATAGATCATATAGAAAACGGAGTTGGTCATTATCATTTGTATTGCTTTTGCTCAGACCAAACATTAAGTTCTTAGATATACATGTACCTATAAATAATAAAATGATATCAATACCAATGTGTTTTTAAAGGTGGACTATGATACTTAGTACTAGTAGTTATAATTATTATATAATAGCACTTACGTAGGAATAGATGAACTGTCTTCTTGCTGCTCCGGTTCCCCACACAGTGAAGGGGGTGTCGTCTCCTAAAAAGACATAATAAAACTGTTAAAGTCACTTGCTGGAGAAAAAGATGTTTTGCCAATGAATACATGACAAACTACAATAGAATAACCAAATGATGTAATATTTTGCCATAATTCTTTTCCTTTTAGCATGTGCATCTTCATTTCATTATCCAACCATTTGTTTTACATACATTCGAACTGATTTTGACCCATAAAGATATGCCAACTTGTACTATTTATGAAGAACTTATGATTGTCCACAGTATAAGTATCAAATTATACAGCATCTCCGTTCAGTTTGCTTTCGTCAGTAGCTGAAGAAAGGTGATTGGTGCCGTCTGAAAGCTTCTACGCTTTTACATTATTAAGTCGTATCAGTGTATCAGTTTAAATCCTTCCTGTTACTATCAAATGGATTAGTTGACGTACTTTTGGCGATGAAAATCTTGTTGATGAGTCCTGGCATCACGTGCCCGTCCTGCAGGTTAAAGTTGTCGTAGGGCCCGAAGACGTTGGTTGGAATGACGGAAGTGAACTTACAACCGTACTGCTTGTTGAAAGCCCTATGAATAGATTGAAAAAAAGAAAAGATAAACTAGAGAAGTAACATTTGCAGAGCAAATGCATGATGTTTACCTTCGGACATGGTTTGCCCTGTTAATTCTTACTCAAACACATTCACATACATGTACTACTAGTATATGGTGACAGGAGCAGAGCAGACCATGAAATTGCAACATTATGTAACCATGGTCACCATGGTGACAGTCGTCAACAAATCATTTCATTGGTCAGGTCATAGGTCACTGTTTGGAAAAGAGGAGGAAGAAACAGAGCAAAAACAATGTTTTCATTCGGTAAACATAACAAAACAGCAATGGCTCAATGTGATCTTGAAAACGTTGCTATGAACTTTTTGTAAAGCTGTTCAAAGTTAACACTTTTGATCCAACACAAAGAAATGTTATCACCTAGAGCTTTTGACTAGTGACTCTGGTCTTCCTCAGGAGACTGACCCAGTGAGGCTTGTCACGTGACTTCTAATAATCTACCCTATAAAAGACTACTATAGTCCTTCATTTACATATAATCGGTGCAAAGCTAGGAAAAGAACTTTCCTTTGACAATGTAAACCAGAAAACTCACCTATTCTCAATGTCAATCATCCTCTTGGCGAATGAAAATCCGAAGTTAGAAGGATGGGGCGGCCCAAGATGGAGCTAAAATCAGAAAAACAGTCCATCGTTAGTAATGCTGGTAATGGGCTATATATAAGAACGACAATAGTAATAATCAGAAATTAAATGATATCAACAAGAATGCAAGGGATATTGTGAAAGAAATGCAGTTAGAAAAATCCCTCCTGCTATAAAATTGCAACATGATGTAACCTAATACTAGTTACAATGGTGACAGACCTCTGGTTCAGGTCATTGACCTTATTTATTTGGAGAAGAACAGGAAGAGGAAACACAGCAAAAACAATACGTTTTCCTTCTGCGACGGTAAACCTAACTAAACTCACCATGGTTTCCTTGATTGGGTATGTTGTCTTGTCAGGGAAGATGCAGGTTGAAAGACAGGACACACACTTCTGAACACCAAACTTGTGCGAGTTGTACAAAACATTGTCGTTGATGTGCAAGTTGTTCCTCTGGAAAAAAATAAACTCAAGTTGTAAATACCAGCAGTTTTATATTTCATATTTTAACATATAGTCTAAGAAACAATGTCACAATAATGTATCACTAAGGGTGTAGATATAGTAAGAATATCTAGTATCCAAGACCATACAAGAACCGAACAGAAATATATTCATTGTAAAACATAATATATATTAAGCATTCTGCCTGCAAATCTACCATTGAACGTAGGTACTCCATGACTAACAGAGGTGGGGAAAAGTACGTTCATTGTCCTACGTTTTATATATGTTGAGATCGCAAATGTCAACATGATAATCTTAAAATAATTTCCACAGCATGTATACAATGATTTTTGGAAGCTCACTGTGGTACAAAAATGGCGGTGCATGTGCATCCCATATCTTATCATGAACTCTTATCATGAACATAGAATAGTTTATTAGGATTATAGTGCGAGTTGACATGTGTTATATCATATATGTATAACTGTTGAACAATAACGTCATTATCACCCTGACCAATGAGAGCTCTCTTACCAGGAGGTCCACCGGGTACTTCATGTTCCGAAACAGCCCACCAACCATAGCTGCGAGGTGGATCACGTGGGTTGGCTTGTGCTTTTGGAACAGAGCCTCTGTTGCTTCGAAATCCCTATATGTAATGATAATAATATCATAAAGGTGTTATTGAATCATTTTTCTTATATTCTGAAACATGTTATCACAAGACGTGGTGACGGCACACTCAAGTTTTTTTAACTTATATTAATGCCGCCACCAACACAGGGACAGTACAATACTCATTTACACCTGAGCGAAGTGAGGAAAGTCGTGTTAAGTGCCTTTCCCAAGAGCACAAGATCGGTGGCATGTCAGGACTCGAACCCGGGGCCTCTGGTTCCGGGTCGAGAACGCTGCCGCTACGCCACACGACCCCACCTGAATCATTGAAATGCAGCTAACTGTGGATTAAAGTTGATAGACTTGTGCCTTAAGTATTGGTACATTTTAGGGGTCTGTGTGTGTAAAATAGGACCACAGTGACTTAATGATCTTATGGATGGCACCCTCTGGACATGTCAAAATTGATGCGAGCTTGTGATAAGCTTCCTAATGCTTCATGGTTTATAATTTGATTAATTTGACCTCAAAATTAACGCGGTTTTATCTGGCTCTCTTAGGCAATCAGAAATGGTTGTAAAGTTTTAATCTCCAAGCAGATCCTAGGGTGGCAAAACGACAGTTACTGTATCGAATTGGCCAGACAGCATCCATTGGCCAGAGAGGGTCCAATACGCCACCCAAGGATCTGCGTATGGACCCTCTTTGGCCAATGGATACAGCCTGGCCAATTTTGTCTTTTTGCCACCCTAGGATCTGCTTGGAGATAATTAAAGTTTGCCTGTGCAATGGTGTGTAAATCGTAGGGTATTTAGTGATTCTGACGAATCCACTGAACCGAATAATTGACCCAAATTACAGGCTAACTAGACAATGCCGAGTGACGCAGAAGTCAGCATTTATATGTGACTAGTTGGACGAGTGTTGGACCACTCACGTAGGTCAAAGGTTAGAATAGAATATAGCTGACCATACATGATGAAAACCTTTGCACCTCGGACAAAATGTGATATACTAATGTTGTTTCAGTGGGACATGCGCATTTAATATATGTTGTATTTTATGTGTGTCAAGAGATTTTCTGAGAAACATTCATATCGCATGTTTAATTTTCTGATGAGTCTAAAATACGAAAAAGAAAGTCCAATAAAACGCCTAAAAACGCGTCAAAAATACGCCGAAGCCTAGACCTTTGCTTGGATAGGCCCTAACGATGTTATCGAGGTCGCTCCTTACGCAAACGACAGCCAAACAATGCAGTGACGTAGGAGCCTGAACTAGTTGAACAACTTTTCAATATTCGAGGGGTCATGAACAAATGTCAGTGCACACAAAACGCATCGAATGTTCGTATGTAAACATTGCCTACAGTGTGATAACTATGATATGAAACTATTCTTGCACTACAGTGCAAGTCCCAAAACAAAAGAAATTCTATCATTAGACACTGTAGTTTCATTCTGTACGACAGTCTTTTGAGAGTAGCTTTTTTCTAAAACTGATGTACAAGTTTATCTATTTATTCAGCTATATCACAAGTCTTTCACCTGTATCACACACAGTTGTTGACCAATATAATCTGTATGTATGACTTTCGTATAATCTTTCTCTCTCTGCATTTGTTTGTGTCTACCCCCATCCTTATGTTAGACCAAATAAATTTGGGTATTCTTACGTGAGATCTGCATCTTTGGTTGACACAAATATCCATTCCTCGCCCTCGGTAGGGTTTTCAGACACCACCCTCTGAACAGCCTGGCCCACCAGCCCTGTAGAGCCTGTCACTAGTACCCTCATTGTTGCCATTTCCTGAAAAAAAAAAACACGGACAAATGTTCATACACAAGTAAATCGCATAAACGATAGCAATGATTCATTTTACATGAAATATACAGTTAATCTGGCATACATGAGTTCATAACATGGTTGACAATACAGCGATATAACTCTTAGAAGCGGCTAGGGCCGAAGTGAACTTTTTCAAGGTCAACTAAAGGTTAAAAAAGATGAGCAGAACCTTTGCTGTGGACTACTGTAAAAAGACATAGATGCATTTGCAAGATGCGTTTTCTTGTAATTCAAAAGTTCAGTATTTTGAAAAGAATTTTGTATGTGTTTCCACAGCTAAATGTCCACTGTTAATAATCGTGTTAAGACAATGTCAACAAAATTCCTTGTCTGACGCTTTAAGCTAACCTCTGTACATGTTTTGGTATAATATATTTCAGAGTCTAGAACATTGTTAAAAGTCAGAAATTTCCCGATTCTCGTACAGAACAGATTTACCATGGGCATTTTATCATAACCCCCTTTAAGGCTCCTTGGTTAATTTGACTTTTTGACGGATGATAAATTTAGCTTCATGAACCGGTACAACCACTTTAAATTATGGCGGATCACACAGGCTTTGGTTCCACGTTGGCAAAATGTATTCACTTATTGAAACCTGCTTAGTTCATTGTGCGTACACAGTTTGTATTTTTTTCTTCAGTCTTCTAATGACTTTTACTGTAAATCTGCTTGAAATTTCGTGACACACTTTACGTCAAGTTTCTGATGCAAAATCTCGTGTCCACAAAATGAGGTTTAAAAGTCTTGGTCCATACAAGATTGTCCTACTAAGTTAAATGTAGAGTCCACAGTGTTTTCCAACAGTTTTTCCCTTGCCCACACAACACACAACGTATGGCCATAATACAAAGTTTAACATATAGTCGCTAGAAAACTAACTTACCTTGAAGTTTATTGTGACAACCTGCGTACGTGCACTGACACCCACTGAATGACTAGTTATGGAGACACCTACGTAATTGCTTTACACAGCCTGAGGCTGGAATCTCTCCTCTGATTGCTGATTGGTCCTACGTAATTTCAGTCAGTACGTCACCATTTGATTGACACATGGCCATTCCCTTAAGTGCGAACTTGTCTTACCTGATTGCTGATTGGTCCTACGTAATTTCAGTCAGTACGTCACCATTTGATTGACACTTGGTCACGCCCCTTAACTGCGAACTTGTCTTACATGGTTGTCTCACACAGCACTGTCTATAGCGATCAACCAACAAGACAACATGATAACTCATTACTATCGTTCAAGCTATTTTTTGCGGCTTAATCGTATAATTACGCAATGTAGTCTTACAATAGGGCTGGAATATCATACCTGATTGGTCCTACATAATGAAATTAATTACGTCGTCATTACCACTCAGTTTACTGTGGACGTTTTTCACAGAGTAGTCTATATTATCATTCAACCTGTGTGGAAATCTTTTAGTCCAATTTTATTACTTTGTATACGTGTTATTTTTTGCCAGTCTCATTGTATGTGTACATATCTAGAAGAACTAGAAAAATAGACCTGCGAATATATACATTTATGCAGGCGGGAAATATAGGAATGGAAACCATTGGACTTACTGTACAGTGTGTAGATATCCTTACTTTATCTACACTCGTTCTTCATTTGTACATCTATATATATACAATTTATTGTCGGATGGCAATTGTGCACATGTATAAAAGACAAATGTGCAAAGACAACTTGTGAAATTGTTTACCACATATTTTGCCCCCCCCCCCCACATCGTATCAATGGCAAATTCTGATCAACAATAAATAATATAATCATGTACGTTGTCTGTTTAATTAAAAAATTTGTTGTCTGGTGATAATTATGTAGGGGTAAGATGTAGAAAAAGACAACTTGTGAAAAATACAACCTGTTTTGCCTCCTTTTCCATTGTGTCAATGGCAAATTGTAAGAAGCAACATCTGATTCAGTTTGTCTGTTCAATACAAGACTACAATTTCAAAAAACTAGATTTAATCTCAAATTTCAAGACTTGTATTATTACAAAAATGTATCTCTAAAGAAGAAGCTCATAAGCTATCCATAAATGTGAAAATTAATTGCCGTCGGCAAGGATGGAAGCATTCAATTGACTATTTATTGTGTAACATTAAAATAAAAAACGTACTTACTTTAAGCCACTTAAGATACTAGTAGGCTGAGTTATTGCAATCTTCATGTACATTATATTTGATCATTTGATATTTATATAAATCAATGACTCTTGGAAAATGAAGTTTAATTGGGATGTAAATGATCTTTATTGAGAAAAAATGAACATGACATTTTTTTTACAAATAAGCCAAGCTGGTTATTTTTACAATGGGCATCTACAAATTCCACAGAGCATATTTGGTATTTGGTATACCTAAAATTAAATGTATTGAAGTACATATTTTATTCTGCCCTTACAGTATGTGGGCTTTATCCTTAAGAACACATTTTACAGCGTTATGCAGTATTACTTACATGTATTTCTTGCATCTTAACATGATGCAATATATTTGTACACATTACGACCATTCTTATATGTTTTATTATTTCATTTTTTTAAAAGTAAACCTTAGAATATATACACCATGGACAGAAATCACCTTACAAACCCTTTTCTTTCCTTAATCATTATCTTTGAGAGATCATCATTAAACAAATCCCCATTACTAGAATATCCCAAACAATTGGATAGCTCATAACATAACTGTCAGCACTATGTGATTTACATCACACATGTTATCCAACTAGGCAAATCTCAAGGTTTTGATTCAGTCCTAGCTTCCTCATAATTCTCTGCGAGCCAGTCACAAGTCTCCTTCAGAGCTGGAAGAACACAGATGAAAATATTACAGAAACGTTAGTGTTTGTGTTTGTGTATTCACTTCCATCGCTAAAGAACAGTATACAGTATAAGAAGGTTACTATAGTTCTATATCAAGTGTTTGTCTTTTAAACTTTTAATATTGTGTAAATTCTGTTAAATTTCTGCCATAATTTTAGAATGTTCTATACTTCTTACAATTGCCTTACATATATGATGCAACTTTTAACAATTACTATTACATTAAACAGAAATTCTGAATTGTTATGAATTTATGCCATAATTTTCAGAATATTCGACTTATGTTTTTTCACTTTGATTCATTTTTCATTTCAGGCACCTTAGGCCCATATCATTACAATTTAAAAACAAAGACATATGTACAGAGACAAATAATTCAATACAGTTCTCTACTTACCATTGCCTTATGAATATCTCACATATATGATGATACTTTAAAAATTACTATCACATTAGACAGAGATTTTAATTTTTTATGAATTTCTGCCATAATTTTTATAATGTTATAATGTTTACTACTTACAATTTGCAATTGCCTTACGACTATCTAACATACATACATGATGACACTTTTGAAAATTACTATTACATTACACAAAGATGATAAGATTGAGAGGTATGTCTGTTACCTTGTTTGATGGGAGTAAACTTGAAGTCAGGCAGGTATTTCCTCAGCTTCTCATTGCTGCAGGTTTTCCTGAACTGTCCGTCAGACTTCGTGGTGTCATACTATAGAAATCATGAGTTAAGTTTCCGTAACAACAAGAACCAGAAATCAAGAAGTCTTCACTCTCATAGTACAGATGTAGATGCCATTGGGTATATGCAAGCCTCTTTGTATTAGTTGGTTAAGCTTGATATCATCTACTAATATGTATCTAAGAATTTTTTTTTAATTATTACCTTGAAATTTGAGAAAATTCATTTAGATTTCACAGACATCGAGTGTAATACAATATACAATAAAAATAAATAAAATTGGTAGTATTGTAGAGCAGGAATTTAGTTTCAGACCAACATTTAGCGTGTGAATTGGAAAAATGACCTAACTACTGAGGTAACAATGTACAAAGTTTAGTTGCTATAAGTTGCATGTGCTCTATACGAACGAAAGAACACCTATTTGAAAGTTGTAGTTGCTGTGCCATTTGTACTTCTGCTCATTTACAAAATTCGAGATGATGCTCGTATAACTATTGTGTGCTGTGAATTACACCAAAAGGATACGGCGACTTCTCCCTGGAAGTCCATTGCCTCCACCACGAGTTCTACAGCCTCTTTGATGGAAATCTCGTCTTCCTCTCCGACTGGAACGAAACGAATCATAATGATGAGTCCCTTGTGTAAACCATTCAGCAAAATTTGTAAGAAGTTCATTTTTTCTAGAAAATACTTTTTCGCTCATAATCAGTGGTTTGTTTGGCTTAAGAAGAAAATGATGGTTTACTAACTTTTACTAAACATCATCATCATGTTAACGAAACTAAGGACCAATCATCCATGAACAACTACCAATCAGAATCATCAAGGTACATTTTCTGTCAATAAGAATCACTGTCTTGAACCTTCTGCCAATCAGAACCACTGTCTTAAACCTTCTGCCAATCAGAACTATTAAAAGCTAAATTATTTATGTACCTGCAAGTATGATTGGCTCAGTCTCTTCATACTCCTTCACTGCCCACACCATCAACCGCCCCAAATCCTGTGGATAGGACGAATGTGTTATTTATGATTCATAAATACATAATGTCCATACAAATCACAATGCTTACTAAAGTTGTATCACGAATATGAATACAAAATTCATATACTTACGTGAGAGTACATAAACTGCCTCCTCGCTGATCCCGATCCCCAAACTGGCAAAGATTCTCCATTTTCTAAAAAAAAGATGCCAAGAAAGATTATAATTTATATACATAACATGTGTATGAGTATCAATGGGCCCTAACTACACATAGCTGTATATCATGTCCATCTAAATGATATACCTGGAGCAAAATTTCCAGCAAATAAATTAATTGCACAACTATGTACGGGATATACAAAGTATGCCATTTACTAGTACATAGCTACACTCTCATAAGGCTAACCATACTAATTTAAGAGTAGCGCTGGCTAGTATGGGCTAGGTATGAACTTCTACAATCACTGGAGGAATTTCTAGCTCTTATACAGTCTTCAAAATATATCCCTATGTATACCATATATACATGTTGTCATATATACATGTACATATACTTACTCTTGGCCAGATAAGCCTTGTGTATAAGGGCAGGCATGACGTTTCCATCCTTAAGACTGAAGTTGTCGTACGGACCGAAGAGGTTGATGGGCACTACAGACGTGAACTTGCACCCGTACTGCTTGTTGTATGCACTGTTTGGGCAGAAAATAAGATACACTAACGCTTTAAAACATATGTCTCAGATAGAACTTTACCAACGATACTGAATGTAATATAGTCTTCATCATGATCAGCTCTTATCATTCAATTATTGCTTCGTGTACAAACCTTTTTGTCCGATTTCAAACAGTTTTTTTGCAACATTTTAACACATTAGTCTTATCGGTCCTTGGAAAAATTTGGTCGCTGAAAAATTTGGTTCTTCATTTAATTACTATGTAAATTCGTGCTTTGCTTGTCTTATGTATGTATTATCTTATGTATGGGTGGCGGCATGAATATAAATCTAAAACTTGAGTGTGCCGTCCCCATGTTTTGCAAATAAATGTTGCAATGAAAAAAAGAATACAGTCTTCATAGCGGGCCTTTTATGTGTTGTTTCTGAATGCATGTTTTAAGTTACTAAGGAATCTTCATACTTCTTTCTTCTCTTGAATATCATGCCTATTGTAGTTTTTTTTTGCAGACCACTACACTACAAGACAATGATACAAGCATGTAATGAACACACCCAGCAGACTACTTACATATTCTGCACATCCACCATCCGTTTGGCCCAGGCGTAGCCAGAAACAGAATCATGAGGTGGGCCGTCATGCACCTAGAATATAATAAAATATATAGAAACATAATAAAAATATAATTTCGGCAGATTCGACCCCGAACTCATGCTAGCTATGTTCTTATTCATAAAACAAGTTTTGGATATCCTCAACAGTTGAAAAAAAGCTAAGCACTCTTAAAATGGTCATGTCCACCTAACATTTAAGCCATGAATATGTTAACCTGAAAACCAAACTGTTACCAGGGAACACACAGGCCATGCCCTCGGCACCAGGGCCTACATATCACCGAGGAAATTTGGTCTCCACCCCCTTGATAAAGTTAACGGATTCAGGCAGGCAAAGGTGGGTTTACATGTAAGTTATTGGTTGTCCAGACAGACATAAGCGTAGAAGGATCGGGAAACCTTGCCTACAACCCCGAGAGAGACTGGTAACCATGTTCTAGATTATGTTCAGGATAGAAGCTGACAATGGCCGAGAAACCCTAGCTTACGAATGGTCTATGACTGCTAACCATGTTCTGTATAATATTCAAGATAGAAGCTTATTACGATAACCGACCAACCGTGCCTACAACCCTGAGACAGACTGGTAACCATGTCCAGGATAATGTTCAGGATAGAAGCTTACAATAGCCGGGCAACCCTGCCTGCAAATGGTCTATGACTGTTAATCATGTTCTGGATAATGTAGACCTACATTTGTTTCGTCCACTGGGTACTGGATCTCACAAGGGAAGATGGCGCTGGTGAGAGCAGTCATACACTTCTTCACGCCCATGGCGTGTGAGTTGTACAGCACATTGTCATTGATGAGGAGGTTGTTCCTCTGAAAAGAAAAAAAAAACAAAGAAATTCAATCACCTTATTTGACATATACAAGACGTGAAACAATACACCTATCCTCGATGAAGGTTAGACATCCAGGTATACATGTAAATCTGCAGCTTATAAACCTGCAATTCCCCTCTGGTCTCTCAGTCATTGACGAAAGCTAGTGGATACTAGCTGAAACGTCTGACGTTTTCAAAATCATATACAGTTGCTTGAGTAACTGCTTTTTGGCGTAATACACCTATCCTCATAAGTTGGCAAAACAGACTAGTCACACTTTACACTACGTTTATTCACGAGTCTTAATCTACAATCTTATATTAGTTATACTGTTTATTGTCAACGTTGCCATCTAAGAAGATAAAATACACACTTGAAGAGGTACTGGTCTAAACATGCATCATACATGCATTTCACAAAATTTTTCTTAACAAAATACCATACATCTGACATGACGCTTTGAAAATTCAACCCGGGCCATTGGTTTAGCTTATTACTGTAATAAATAATTATCGAACTATAGAAACATGATTTAAGTCCCCTAAGCATTCATGTACTTTTTAAATTTTTTTCAGCTCACCAGAAACTCGACGTTATGTTGTGAGATGCGGATCATTCCCCCCATCTCTGCCGCTAGATGGATGACGTGGGTCGGACGGTGCTTCTCGAAAAGGGCCTTGGTGGCCTTCGGGTCTCTGTGTGACCAGGAGATATAGTTGTTTTCCATGAATCAACAGTACATAGAAAAGACTGTACAGTATATTTGAAAGCTCCTTGAAGACATTGAATGAGCCACTAAACATCAAATGCAACTATATGTTGATTTACATCATCAGGGCTACAGGAAGAATAGTATGAATTGGAGCACTAATGAAGATCACAATCATTAAAACAAACGAACAAGACGCACTTTTACTATGAAAATTTCTTTGCCCCTTTATTCTTACACATGTGCATTTTTTAAATCTAATTACACTTTAAGAAAATATCTATGTGTGGCTATGCTCTGCACAGAGTGGAACGGGACCTTGGGTTCTTTGATGATTTTTGGTTCATGGGTAAATAAAATGAAAAAAAGAATGATGAAGTTATGCTTCCTTACCTGAGATCTGCCTCCTTCGACGACACGAAGACCCACTCTTCCCCGTCACATGGGTTCTCTTCCACCGCATGGCGAATAGCCTTTCCGATCAGCCCGGTGCCTCCTGTTACCAGAACCTTCATCTTTTGTCCTGAACATTCGATGCGAAAAAAAGCTTGTCAACCGTATTGGTAAAGAATTTTTTTCAAATATAGATTTCATTTGTGTGTACACTAGTTGGCTAGTAATTGTAAAAGCTGCTTTATTCAGCCTCTAGTCGAGACATACCTGAGATACTGTCTGAACAACTTGTACTACTTCTACGTTTGCGTTTATGGGGTTTGGCTTCTTCTTTGAAGTCAGGGGATAATGAATAGTCCCACGTTCTGCATAATGAGTGGGTTTTGTGATCTTAGTAGAAACATAGCTATTTTGAGGGTCTTATGAATGGCAGGAGGATGGGGAAAGTCGTGGCAACTGCATGAAGTAATCTGTTAATCGGTGGATAACAATTTGGCCAGATTTGGAGGGGGATACTAAGTGATCGAGTTCGATCCCATCGAAAATTTTACGGAACAGTTCAACTAGTCGGCGAGGTCACACAGTGTAAGATTTGTATGCCTGAGGCATAATGATCTACGTGATTAATGACTATACAATTACTGGCGGGCTGGCATGCATGTTTCCCCGGGCATTGCACGCGCTAGCCGCCGCCTGGACTTGTTAGCCTTCTCGGTGGATTTTGCCGAGGTTCAGCTAACAACACCGAATGCCCCCCTCCGTACATACAACTTTGTGAAAATGCTACAAGATATTATAATACGCCAAAAACCAGTTACTGAAGCAACTGGATATGATTTTGGAACATTACGGAACGCAGTTATACGTTACACCAAAACGTAAATTTGGGATAAGTCACCCTTCAACTACTAGTAATCGGCGAGGTCACACAGTGTAAGATTTGCCTGGGGCGTTATACATGTAATCTACGTGATCACCGACTCCACAATTACTTGACATGTCGGGCTAGCTTACGTTTCCCCGGGCATTGCACGCAATAGCCGCCGCCTGGACTTGTCAGCGCTCTCGGTGGATTTTGCCGAGGTTCAGCTACCAACACTGAACGCCCGTCCGTACATACAACTTTGTTAAAAATGCTACAAGATAAAATACGCCCCAAAACCAGTTACTCGAGCAACTGGATATGATTTTGGAAACGGTCAGAAAAAAATCATATCCAGTTGCTTCAGTAACTGATTTTTGGCGTATCTAATATTACAGTGATGTCTAACCTTCATCGACGTTACAAGAGAAATGTTTCGTAAGCTTAAAATGACTGAATTCTTACCTTTCTGTGCGTCGGCAGAGCTAGTGGTGTGCTGAAGCTTTCTGTGGTTCGGTCGTGTTGTCTAAAACTGACTCACTTTTCCGGTTGAGCCACTTGTGAAATTTTGGACACGCCCTAAGGCTACAATTATGGTGATTAGAACATGTCTATACCATCTTCATAGAAAAAAAATCATGTCAGGAAAAAAAAGGTCACACGTCGGGTATTTTTTAAAAGTAAAACGCTTGTTTTGCATTAAGTAAGTAAGTAAGTAGTTGTTTTATATACACTTTATGTCATGTGGATATATTTTGTCATGACTTACCAAGACTATACATGTATACAACAACCAAAGTCTACTCAAGAAAATAAACACTAAAGACATCATGATAAGACAATGATGTGACAAGGAATTTTTGTAAATGTGACTTTTAAGAGAATTTGGCATCAAGAAATGTGAAATGACACAGGAAAAATACAGAAAAGCGAGAATTTTGGTGGAAATGTAGCCTGGGTGCCAGACCGGTAGCACACTGGACAAAATATCTCAGTGAGGCTCACTGAGATACTTTGTGTCCAGTGTGCTATGGGTTCGGCACCCAGACTAGTGGAAATGAGAATAGTAAATTAGGGTGAAACAGACACACTGGACGCTAAAAAGTCTGTCATTTTGTCATCTTTGTCCTTGTCCTATTTTCTCTCTTTATTCACAAGTTTCTCATTCCCATGGTGCATTGCGCCTGGGGGTATAATCTCCCAGGTTGCATCATGAGCGCAGGAATGTATCCTGTTGACGTTAAACAGCTTGTTTTTCTGTGTGTTTTGAGGTGTTGGGGCATTATATGCTCAACATTAATTGACTTACTATGGGTCAAATCTGACAAGAAATAGAGAATAAAATTCTTGTGTTCTTTTTAACATGGAACAATGTGGATTGTAACGTTACAGTTGTAACTGTCAATAGAACTATTGGCTATATTGCTCGAAATAATTCAACAGGTGTTGAAGTATAAAAATATTAAGGGAGCAACCTTCATTGTTTTAGTTTCTGTCATCAACGAATGTAAAAACACCACAGAAACATAGAATTCAGATCTCAAGGCGCTATGCAGCATGGGAATTTTGACCCCCTGCAGGCGCAATGCGTCATGGGAAAGGGAAACAGGTGAATGTCCGATCCACTACCAGGACGTCGGGCAGACAATTTCCCGTGTTGTGACGTAAGGCCTTTAGTTGTTCGCCATCTCTGTCATTTAGGCATCTGTTTTTCTTTACCCCCGACACGACAACATGTCCCGCGTTTTGTCCGGTTTCCTCCGTGTTTTCCCCATTCGAAGGCTGCTCCATCCTCTAGTAATACTCTTTGTTTTAGTTCTGACGATCTTTGTCGGTTATCGAACTTTGGAGACAGGCTACCTAGTTATATCAGACGAAAGGTAGGTGTCTTTCACTGTTGTGTCGCCATGTTGTTTTTAAGCCGTCTTTTTCATGTATTAACGCACTTCTTTCTGTAATAAGGCCTTGGTGATTCGGTTATATGGACGACATCCGCGCGCGCATGAATTTTCGCCCGCTTCCAAAAATGTTTTCGAGTGAAATAATGCTGTCGTCAAATTTCGATAACAGTGTAGTAATAGTTCAGATAGGTGTTTCTCATACTGTAGTTATGTCTCAGACATAACTTCTCTGTAATGATAAGTATTTTATAAGCACTCTTGATGTTTTGTTCACTGTCTATTTCCAGAATCCTAGAAGCAGTGTCGATGATTAAACGATCAGCCGTTGAGACTACTGAAAAGCCGCCGCAGACCGACAAACCTAATATAATTTTCATCCTAGCAGACGACTACGGGTGGAATGATATTGGGTACCACTCTTCTCTTATTCGTACTCCAAACCTGGACAGGTAAAACTGTTTTTTTTTTCATTTTCTCGCCATTTTTGCCTGATTCTCTTTCATCTAATATATCAAATGTGTGTGTGTGACTATTTGTGTGTGACTGTATGTGTGTGTGTATGTGTTTGACTGTGTATGTGACTGTGTTTGCGTGTTACTGTGTGTGTGTGTGTGTGTGTGTGTGTGTGTGTATGTGTGTGTATGTGACTCTGTGTGTCTGTGTATGTGAATGAGTGTGTGTATGTGTGTGTATGTGTGTGACTGCGTATTTCTGGATGTATTTTGTACTTTAGCGAACTTGCTACAAACTTTGCACACAAAAAGAGCCGGGCATAGGTCATTAACTCGTATATCTCCTATATTCAATCACAGACTGGCACAAGATGGCGTCAAGTTGGAGAACTACTACATACAGCCCATCTGTAGTCCATCAAGGGCGCAACTGATGACTGGCAGATACCAGGTCAGATAATCTGTTCAATATTGTGACATTTAGATTGAATCAAATGATGATGTTCCCAGCTTATTTTATACGTACCATCAAGAGCTCAACTGATTATACTGGAAGATACCAGGTCAGAAAATGTGTTCAATGTTAATGTATTGTGACATTTAGATTGAATCAAAGATATCGCCTACAACAGGCAATATTGACCAAAACATACATGATGTTCTAGTAGCGGTACGATACTCGAATAGTTTTTCATACTATATGTATCTCTTGTTGTAAAACGCATTTGTTTGTTTTTACGTGTTCTCAGATTCGTTATGGCATGCAGCACAGTGTCCTTATGAGTGACCGTCCACACGGACTCCCACTGGACGAAGTCACGCTTCCTCAGGTGCTGAAGGAAAGTGGGTACTCCACGCACATTGTTGGCAAGTGGCACCTTGGACACTTCAAGAAAGAATATCTACCAACACGGAGGGGCTTTGACACATTTTTCGGTAAGAACAGCGTGTTTTCACTCACGTGACTATGACGCAATGTCCGCCATATTGAATGGTTAAACCTGAAATTTTCATTGTGTAGTTTGTGTTCCTTTTAACAGAGGCCAACAAAAACTCGACACAGCGGTCTCCTAGCGACTTTTCCTGGTATTGAAACAAACCTGAAGTTTACCTTTTGCAACATAATGTAAAGCTTAGGTGACTATAACATCCTGTCCTAGATGGTTAAACCTGAATTTTACACTGTATAGTTTGGAATACTTCATTTTGCACGTAGGGGGGTAAAGCAAAGGCCAACAAAAACTAGCCCTCGACACAGCGGTCTCCTAGCGACTTTCCCTGGTATTGAAGCAGAACTGAAGTTTATCTTTTGCAACATAATGTAACACTTATGTGACTATGACGTCCTGTCCACCGTTTTGAGTGGTTAAACCTTAAATGTGCATTGTATACTTTGTGATACTTCATTTTGCACGTAGATTGGGGCAAAGCAGAGGCCAACAAAAACTAGCCCCCGACTCAGCGGTCCCCTAGCGACTTTTCCTGGTATTGAAGCAAAACTGAAGTTCATCTTTTGTTCCAGGTTTCCTTGGCGGCGGAGAAGACTACTTCACACACAGGATACCGAACGAGGTAGTGGAGACTCCTGACACGTACCGGGCTTTTGACTTCTGGGACGGGACTTCACCGTGCCTGACTGAAAATGGAACCTACTCTACTCACCTCTTTGCCAGAAAATCCATCGAACTCATTGATCGTCATGACAAAACGAAGGTATGGTTTTCAGCTGGTCAATTGAAGCACACGAATAGCTGGTGAATACACACGGAATATTAGCTTGAAGGTTATCCCATAATGGCTCCTACTAGTTGGGCATCTTCAGACAAAACGATTAACTAAATAAATGAATAAAAATATAGCCTGTGTCTTTGACTATAAAAAGTAGCACTGCATTCTTGGACTATGATCCTATGTTCAAAATCCTCTATCTATTATTGAGTCAAGTGTAGTGAAAGCAGCTTATTCGCATCCAGATGTTATTTATTATACAGATCTTTTTAAGATTAACATGATGACTTTCCTCCTTACACAGCCGATGTTCCTGTACTTGCTGATGGGAAGGGGGGGGGTAAATTATCAAATATGAATGTTTTTCGATGTAAGGCCATGTTGATTTGAATATATGGATGACATCCTCTGGGAACCCCAAAACTGATGCGCGCGTGCGAATAAAAAAAAGTTTTGCAAAAAAAAAGTTGCTTTCACTATGAAATCTGGTCATGGTCATGAAGGTTGAACAAATGGCACAGAATATGTTATGGCGAATAATCTACTCTTCGAATTCATTTCTTTACATTTTTGTCTTTTTTCCTTTGATTTTGGCATTCTACGACATTGGTATCGTTTCTAAAACGTTTTCCTTGCAACTTATGGTATATTTTTGCTCATTTAGCAACT